TAAATCAAAAAATTAGCCAGACGTGGTAGCGTGCGCCTGTAATTCCGGCTACTCAGAAGGCTGAGGTGGAAGGATCGCCGGAGCCCAGCAGATCAAGGCTGCGGTGGCCGGGAGCGGCCACTGCACTCCAGTCTGGGCGACAGAGTGAGACTCCAACTCAAAAAAAAAAAAAAAAAATGGCATTTGTTTGCATTGGCATTTTTTCCCAGCTGATAATATTTCAGGAGCTTTTAATGAATTAAAATCACATTTGCCTGAAGAAGCCAATGAAGTTACTGACTGGCCAAGAATAATTATGCACATGATGGGATAAGAAGCTACACAGCAGTGCTGCTATTTGATCACCAGGATTGTTTCTGTAGATGAGGGCAAGTTGAACGGATTTCTGTGCGCCCAAAACAATGTACAAGCATGGCATAGAAGATGGGAACATTTAAAAGGAAATGCTCATGTCAGTGTATATTGAATCATAGAAAAATTTCAAAAAGAGCAGTCCACATAGAAAATGAGCATGATCATATCTTCCAAGAAGAGCCATGCCTCAAAAGAAAATAAAGCAGCTGCTCATCACTATGTAAGTCTTCAAAATACAAGGATCATCTTATGGATGATCTCCATGCAAATGCCCATAATTGAACCCTATAATCCACTTTTTTATATAACAAACTTTCATTTTAGTTTTTTTATTAGTATTTTCTTACTATTTTAAATTGTCAGGGTTTTTTTTCCCCCAAAAACAATTTGCTATGCTTTGTATTTCATCTTTGAATCATTTGCAATATTGGAGATATAAATTGTGTAAAGACATTTTAGAGCATTCTAATTTGTTTCACACATTTTTTGCAAATTTTACTCCACAAAAGTGTATTATCACAACGTTGACTTTTTGTAAGTATTATGCAAGTACGTAAAAATGTTGAAACTTTCTTAACAAATGAAAAGATGTCCTTCTTTGTACATCTGCATTTGTGAAAGATAAAATTTGTCAAGGTCTCAGCTCCTTTCACAAGTGGGTTCATGGTGGTAACCTATCATGGTTTTCGATCTCGTCAAAAGACTTAGATTGTCATGGTATTTCTTTTTTTTTTTTTTTTTGAGTTGGAGTCTCACTCTGTCGGCCAGACTGGAGTGCAGTGGCCTCAACCTGCTGGGCTCCGGCGATCCTTCCGCCTCAGCCTTCCAAGTAGCTGGAATTACAGGTGCGCACTACCGCGCCCGGCTAATTTTTTGATTTATTGTAGAGATGAGGTCTCGCTGCCCAGGCGGGTCTCGAACCCGCGGGCTCAGGCAATCCACTCACCTCAGCCTCCCAAAGGCGCGGGATTACAGGCTGAGCCACTGAGCCCGGCTTGTCATGGTATTTCATGATGACAGTTATAAAGCTGGGTGCACACAGTTGCTAATCATAGTGCATTTTGATCTATTTATGAACATGGCTCATTGGCTCCTAACTGCTATTTATACCCATTGACTGTGGTTAGTATACCTCAATGTCTATGCTTGTAAAGATGTGTATGTTATTACTGCCCAATTTATTGTGTAAAGTGGCCTATGAAGTGTTTTGTCATGTTTTTATATGTTTCCCAAATTCATTTCTTTTTTTTTGTATTGGAGTCTCACTCTGTCGCCCAGGCTAGAGTGCAGTGGCACACTCACAGCCACCCCAACGTCAACTGCTGTGTTCTGGCGATCTTTCCACCTCAGTCTTCGAAATAGCCAAAACTACAGGTGAGTGCTACCACACCTGGCTAATTTTTGATTTATTATAGAGACGAGGTCTCACCAAGTTGCCTGGGATGGTCTTGAATCCATGGGCTCAGGCAATCCACTCGCCCTGGCCTCCCAAAGTGCTAGGATTATAGGCTGAACCACTGAGCCTGACCAAATCTCCTTTTAAAAATATAAATAAATGTCTTATAAATAATTTTTTTCAGAATTATATTTTGGGGATTTTGATCCTTGGGATTTTAACATTCAGGATTGTATCTTTTGGGATTATGACCCAGAACTAGTTGTGGAGTAGTAAACTGGTCCTAGGTTATCCAAAGTCCATGAGCTGAAGTACTTGGTTATACTGTTCCCAAGTACACGTCACTTCCAAAGCCCTGTGTACAGATTTCTGACCTCATACAAGGTCACATTTTGTGTAGATGAGTATGAAAATATTCCGTTAAATCTAACTGAGAGTTAAAAGTTTACATTTGTCTGTAATGCTATTGCATTTCTTGGGGCTTTCTTTTTTTTTTTTGAGTTGGAGTCTCACTCTGTCACCAAGACTGGAGTGCAGTGGCCGCTCCCGGCCACCGCAGCCTTGACCTGCTGGGCTCCGGCGATCCTTCCGCCTCAGCCTGCCAAGTAGCTGGAACTACAGGCGTGTATTACCACGCCCGGCTAATATTTTTGATTTATTGTAGAGATGAGGTATCACCAAGTTGCCCAGGCGGGTCTCGAACCTGCGGGCTCAGGCAATTCACTCACCTCAGCCTCCCAAAGAGCGGGACTACAGGCTGAGCCACCAAGCCTGGCTGGGGGGGCTTTCTTATAACCCAATGAAAGGAGCTTTGAATTTTCTTTTATCTATTTCATACATTGAGCTTCTGCATGAGTTTTTATTTGAAGAAATATTTTAATGTCCCAGAGCTATGTTTTTGGCAGAGTCAGGATTAGCTCTAACTTAACTCACAACCAAACTGAGGATGCTTTCCATGATGCCACCTCTGAATAAAAGCAAAATATTTTATGAAGATCACTAGAAAGAGAAGGCAGCCTTAAAAGAAAAAAGGGGATTTGACCTTTGTTATGGCCTGGGAGTAGAATGATAAATAAGATAGACAAAGCTCCTGCCCTCTATTTGTTTTTTTTTTTTTTTTTTTTACTTATTTATTTTTAAGAGATAGGATATCCTTCTGTTCCTCAGGTACAGACATAGCTCACTGCAGCCTTAACCTCCTAGACTCAGCGATCCTTTCATCTAGCCTCCTGAGTGACTGGAACTACAGGTGTGTGCCACTATGTCCAACTAATTAAAACTTTTTTTTTTGAGAGATGGAGTCTTGCTATATTGACCAGTCTTGAACTTCTGGTATCAAGTAATCCTCCTAGTTTGGGCTCCCAAAGTCCTGAGATTACAGGTGTGAGCCAGCACAACCAGCTAACAGAAAATGTCTGTTACTATCA